CATCAGGAACATTTTGATGCAAGACGCTAGGTAATAATGATCCTAGAAATCTTCCCCTCAGCTGACTCGCCTATCATTACGATTGCTTACGGTTGTACACGCTTGAAAAGTTCAGCTTATATTATCGTGGTGTAACCCTTTGATGGCCGGAACCAAATCTTGGTTAGTTCCTGCAGGTAATATATCGTTTCAAGTCAAAACCTTGTCTCATGAACCCCATCCCCTACAAATACCCTCGCTTGTTATTGAGCACAACCCCAAACCAACACAGCCTTCAATGACGCCTCTTGTCAGTGGCAGTTTCACCCGAGGCTGGCCGAGACCTCCTATAATTTCTTCTGACTAAGATTCACACGTACATTCAAGATTGTATATACAGAGACCTCTTTAGTCAACTAGAGGAGCCTCTCCTTCATATCATTACGAGAAATCAATTTCGTCTTGCTCTACTTTACCACATCAAGCACCATGATCATATCCAGTCTTTTGGCAGCCATTTTTGCCACGATTTTGACTGTCCAAGGCCAACAATTCGATGGTTACATCTTCCCTCACGACTTACTTGGGCTGAACCAGGGCTGTTTTGAGGTTGTGAACAGAACTGTGTCGTCCTGTCCTGCATGGCTTCCGAGATATGCCGGCTTGGAGTATGTACATCAATTTTGTTGACACTAGGCCCATCATATTGACAAGACGTGACATAGGGGGGCAAGTGTTGAGATGCTTCCCAGCGAGCAGCTTACTGTGTTGTGCGAGAGCTCTTGTCAGAACGACTTGCGAAGTCTAAGAACTTCCATCCTAAAAGCATGCACAGCATCTACCGATGTCATGGTTCCGAACAAATTCGCCTACCCAGGTGAGTTCTCAATTAGATACCCCCCATGGATCGAGCGAAGAAGTGGACAATTGTCAGACACTATCTGATTTTTTTTACAGCAACTTTCCTGGTTGACCGTTTTCTCTACGCAGCGAGTTTATCATGCCTGAAAGACAAGTAAGTCTTCTCATGCTTGGTTGATGCAACGACAGAAACTCCAACCCCGGCCAATTGACTGAATTTTACTTTTTCAGGGCGTCTAGAAAGTATTGCGACCTGGTTGTGGCCGATTGGATCAACCAGCCAAACTATACGAGCTCTCAGACGTGTTCTCAGTGCGAGCTGGGTGTACTGCAGATACAACTAGCATCGCCGTTTGGGTTCAGCGACACGCTCGCTGAGGCTTTTGCAGATACAACGAAGAGCTGTAGTGCGGCAAATTATGCATTTGCTACGCCAACATCCTATGCGCTTAATGCTACCACGTTCCCCAATCCATCTGCCTGTACAGGATCAGCATATACAATCAAACAGGATGACTCATGCGTCACCATCTCGGCAGCCAATGGCATGTCGACATACCAGTTGATCACCAAGAACAACCTCAACCTCGGATGCGACAATCTCCCTGCTGTAGGTCAATCGCTCTGTCTGCCCACCGGGAGCACATGCCGTACTTATCAGCTGGATCTCTACGATACCTGCAAGACTCTGATGATGAGTTGGAATGCAACCCTTGCTCAAGTCCTGGCATGGAACCCAATGATAAACTCGGCCTGTTCTAACCTGGCATCGTGGAGAGGTTGGTACCTTTGTTCGAGGTAAGTTCAAAAGTCTCTGTTATCTATCAGGGCCGTGATTCTGACAAAACGTAGCTCTCCATCGGGGACAGTCAGTGTCGGATCGGGCAACGCCGTGGCGACCCCAGCCCCAGCGCCGTCGAATGCACAGGGCCAATCAAATGCTAGGTGTGGACAGTGGTACTATGTAAGTCGATTCAACGTATTTGTTTGATCAACCATAATCTAAGACCTGTATTGTCAAGGTCGAGGCTGGTGACTTTTGCGCTTCAATATGGCTAAAATTCAGCCTAACCCTCTCGGACTTTTACTTCCTCAACCCCCAAGTGGATTCAAGCTGTAGTAATCTATGGGCCAACACGTCTTACTGCGTCAAGCCTGTAGGGAACATTGAAACCTACTCTGGCTACAAGACTACTACGGCGGCAACCACATTCACGCGTCCAGTAACGGCAACCGACTTCGTGCCCAGCCCAGTCCAGACAGCCACGTTGCAGCCCAAGGCCTCCGGCACTATCAGGGACTGCTACGTGTATGAGAACGCGTTTGACGCCACTTCCAAGCTAAAGAATCTGTCCGCGGCAAATTCATGCTGTATTTGGGCACAATATGCCAACGTCACTGTTGAGCAGCTGTTGGAGTGGAATCCCAGCCTCTCAGGAAGTAACTGCGTGCTCCAAGCAGGGAAAAGCTACTGCATACAGAAATGGGAGACTCCGCGTAAGGCCTTCCGTTGCTCCTATACCTTATATTATGCTCTGCACGTTGCATGTCTACTGACGGTGGTGATTACCTTCTAGCAACTGTGGCGCTGCCATACGACTATTGCGTACCCGTGAACCGCACTCGCATACCAGACTCGTCAGTTCAGCCATCGGGCTGTAGCTGCTACACAAACTTCCGCATTCAGGACAAAAGTTGGATAACTTCTTCCACAATTGCCTGTCTAGTGTTTGCATGCTGATATTGCTACAGACAACTTCAACTGCTCCATGGTTCCAGATCTGTTTGGCATAACGGTTGCGGAACTAACCAGACTGAATCCCTGGATCGGATCCAATTGCGATACTGGTATTTGGAGCAAGCTGACCTCGGATGGTTACGAGCAAGTTTGCGTCTTGAGATCCGGCGGGCAGCCTACCGGCTCGCAACCACCACAACCAGTGTAATTCCAACAACAACAACCGTCGGAACCTCCGCCGGCTCCTGTTCAGCCTGGGGCATCCAATAATTGCAAGAAGTGACACACACCAATTATTGGAGACGAGGTTTTGGAGTTTTGCTAATTCGGCGGGTATCAGCTTGGATGAGTTCCGCCAGATGAACCCTCGCGCGGAGTCGGATTGGAGTATGCTTTAGTTGAGGTATGCTGTATGAATTAAAGAGTAGAGGAGTGTTTTCAGTGCCATTTCCATCATTACTAGGTCCCTCCCGCAATATATTCCACTGTAACTCACATTGCGAGACTTTTGACGTGAAGCGGGCCCAGTCAATCCATCAGCCAGTAAACTAAAATATAGGCTTGAAGACGACCAGCGACTTGATCGTCTCGTGGAGAGAGCCGTGCGATCCTTCTAGGTTTGGTTTATTTGCCCGGCCTTTCATAAGGTTTTGTATAGTAGTTCTTAAACGGCTTTAAAGTGTTTCAGACCAGTCCAGTCCTGCGGGGTGATCGTGTCCTGTGAGATACCCTATTCGTTCCCCGCGCATTATAGTGAAGGCCAGAACATTTGAATCCATGAGTCACATGCTTTCTCGCTCATGACCAATTTTTTTTTTTTTTTTTTTTTTTTAATGAATGGCGACAGCAATTCTAAATATGCCCGTACCAATTAATCAACAACATGCACGCTCGAAAGCAAATGCCAGGTATCCGTGCGATGCCACCATGTTGTCCAGTTCTCACGAAGGATCTCGCGATCTAGAGAGAAGGTTCACTCGTGGCTTTGACCTCCTCGCTTAATGACTTCTGTCTCCAATGTCCTATAAAAGTCTCCTCGTTCTCAAACCCTTCAATGTATGGAGGTCTCACATACTGGTCGTCCCAGTCACATTTTCCAAGCACATCATACTTGTGTATGTAGTAGTCCAGCGGCATGTACATCCAGCCCACATCTTCCTCGTCATACTCGGTAGCACCATCATGGAATGGGGCGGGAACTGAGTAGTTCCTCTCCTCTGGGGGATATGGGGACTCCCAGTCCTTGCACAGAAGCTTGACGGCTGGCCTGTGACTACCGGGCTGGTCCACGGACTCGAGACAGATATCATCTACAAAGAGACAATATTTGTATCTGGGCGTAGATGTCGCGTAAAGCCAGTCCACGTTGTCGTCCAAGTTAGTGGCACCCAGCCGGACACGGTCCTCAAGGTTCTTTGGGACCCAGGATTGGAAGTGATCTCGGACTTGGTGGGACGTGGCCCCGCTAATAACGGCTATTAGCAGTAGCAGACTCAGCATGGGCACGTTGAAAAACATACTAGAGTGCTTTGTCGTCAATGACGTGAAGATCATGGAATTCCAACAAATCTGGGCGGATGTAGTATCTGAGATTGTCTTGGACCTCGCTTCGCAAGGCCTGCAGCAGGCGATCCCAAGCTGCCTGGTTACCTTGAGAGCACCGATATATCTGAATTCGTGCGTCAATGAGGCGCACCTTTGGACCATATTCAGAGGAGACAGTGAAGAGTATGTCTTACCACGAAACCCCAGATCGAATCGTGAAACTTTGTGCACGTCATGGTTGATTTGATACGGTCAAAGTCGACATCCGGGGTCGAAATGTCATCGAGATAGGTTCCGGTCTCGGAGAACTGGGATGGTCCTGCGGATATATTGCTCATCATGGCGCGAGGACGACAAATCAAGTCAGCCTCACCCCGGCCTGTTGCTGAATGGCGCGCCGAGCGTGTCGTAGCACCGGTTGTGGTCAAGGATGTGAATAGCGACTTTGAACAGTTCCGGATAGGAATAGAGATCTGCCGCAAGGCTCTGCCTCCCGCTGCAATTCGTTGCAACATGGAAGACTTGAGGGCGTCGAGAGGAGGATGGGATTGTGGAAGAGAGGGACTGGAAACGAAGAGAAGGCGAGGCAGGTTGCTCAGGAATCCAGCGGGGGCACTCGCTCATCCTGCATGAATCAGTTTCATGCATAACGTTTCGCAGTTCTCCAATCAGATGCTATCTCACGCGTCAAGTTAATCTTGTGTTGCGTGTGTGATATCTGCGTCAAGCTGCCAACCCATTATATTTGTCCAACTCATCTCTCCAACACCAACAAATCAAAGGCTTATAGTATCTTTTAGGGTCGCATCCTCCAACAAGCAGCCTAGTGCTTAATCGGAATTTCATCGCCGTTGATTGGTCAACGGTCATGTGACTTGCCCGGTTAGCTCAATCGGTAGAGCGTGAGACTCTTAAGAGGGACACACGTTCTGATACAATCTCAAGGTTGCGGGTTCGACCCCCGCATTGGGCTTTTCCTATAAAACAACGATTCGAGCTTAGGCTGTAACTTTTTTTTTCCTCTTTTTTCTTTCTTGCCCCCCCTACACATATATTCATACTTTTATCTTGGTTATTCATTGCTATAAGGAGGTATATGTACTATTTTCCCCCTCTATTTCAAGGGCAACCATATCCGATCGGAGGGTTACATTCTGCGTTCTCGGCTGCCTTTTTCCTACAGGCGCATTTACCGGGTTCCCCACGCGTTCTCAGAGTCCATTTTGTCAACGGCGTTCATATCGCCTCTTGTTGTTTATTCATGGATCTAAATGCAAGAAAAGAAGCGATATGAGAGTGCGGTTATTTATAGAAAAGTTTCCGGTGCTACTTCTACTCTTAACGCAATTACCAAGTCCTTTACACCATATACCTATATATATGTAAACGACGCTCTCACAAGTTTTGAGTACCTTGACTATGAGTTATACAGCGTAACATTTCACGACCTCATAACTATGCATCGCAGCAGGTAATCGCGGGAAATGGACGAAGATCCTCTCCAATACTCCTTAGAAAAATTAAACCATCCTACAACGAGATTGGCAATAATAAGACCTTGTTCTCTCAATATGGTAACAACAGCCCAGTATTTCACTAAATCATCCAATTAGGCAAGACAGGATTTCCCTAAATGATCCGTGGGGGTCACCAAAATACCTCCAATATGCATGCAATTTCTTTTGGCAGCTACGGGTGTTGCGGTGAGCAGTGCTGAGTATATGTGTGATATTCTCATCAAAATCATTCGGACCTACGAGTTATAAGCGAGTCCATATAGTAATTGATCAACGTAATTAGAGAGCCAAATTCAGCGTCAATGTGTCGACTGATCTCATTTACAATGGTTCCTGTATAAGTAAACTGCAGCATCTTGGCAATTCGCCCCACAACGTTGGTAAATTTACACGAATCACAACAAGGCTGTCCCTTATTCCTCTCCAAGAACTCTTTACCGGTATTTCGAGCCTCATTGTTGCTACGCGCCATTCGGGCCGGCTCTCAATACCCCAGATTTGAGATATTCCACCAACCATAATGCTTATACCTGCAGCTCTCTATTTTCGGGGGCCTTCCGATTCGCTATCCAGAAACCGGGGAAAGCCAAGACTTAGGAAAAGTGTAGGGTGAGAGGAGAAAGTGTAACAATGACGGATATTTTTGCGGATCATCTCTATGACATTTTATCAAGTTTATTTGGGTTCCTTGTCCTTTAAATGCCCACGCCCTTTCCCTGTGTGCTCAGCCGAGGAACGTAGGAAATCCAGTAAGACTGTTTGCCTGGGCTTTCTTAGCACTTGCCTTGCTGTCTCGGGATTCTTCCATACGGTGTAAGACCAGCGCCATCATGGTTCGAGCAACGCAACTGTTGGCGTGGCTCGCCGGAGTGGCATCTACAGTGAACGCTGCTGCGATTGAAATCGCTCCAGAGGCGTAAGTAACTCCTTTTCTCTCTCTCTATTTTTCTTTTCCTCTTCTGTCTCTGTACTTGTACGACAAGACAGTATTGGCATTGATACAGATTCTAGACTCACTACCCGTGATATCATTGCGTCTCTAGATGCCAGTCTCACTTTTGGTCAATGCCACCCTGTGGTCCGCAACGACGATTTTTGGATTGAGACAATTAAGCATACCGGCGTCTCTCCATTTCTCAATGATTCCTCATACACAGTCTACCGTAATGTCAAAGATTTTGGTGCAAAGGGCGATGGTAAAACAGACGATACTACGGCCATTCAAGCGGCGATTGATGGTGCGCATTTACCCAATTCTAAAAACTTACTGCTTTTCAACTAACCTTTTCAGCTGGCGGACGATGCTTATGGGGATGTGGTCCGGGAGACCCTCCAGCGAAAACTCTCAAGCCCGCACTCATCTATTTCCCCTCTGGAACGTACAAGATTTCACGAACTCTTAACAGCTACATCTTCACACAACTTGTCGGTAATCCACTGGACAGGCCAGTTCTCAAAGCCGATAAGAACTTTTCCGGTCTATACCTCCTAGACACTTTCCCTTCTCCAACCACTTCACCATTCCCTACTACCATCAACCTTTACTACCAAGTACGAAACTTCGTATTTGACACAACCAGTGTGGATGTCAAATCAACTGTTGCTTGTGTCAACTGGCCATCTGCCCAGGCCGTGACTCTGAGCTTCAATCACATGAAGATGGCTGAAAACAGCTTACATCAGGGTGTTGTTTTCAACGGAACTACTGGTGGAGGCGGTGGCTCTGCTACTTTTATGGGCGATCTAGAGTTCACTGGGGGTAATATCGGTGTAAGTCAGCAGAATATCTCTTCTGTTATAAAATTTGGAACATGTGGACAATGGCTAATATCTATGGTACGACTAGATTCGATTGAATAACCAGCAGTACGCTATGCGTGCACTGACTTTCAACAATGTCAAGACCGGAATACAAATTGACCACATTTTCACTCTATCTCTGCAGGGCATCAAGTTCAACAACGTTAACGTTGGCGTAAATTTTACCGCTCCGCCAAACAACTCTGTGGGATCGGTCATCCTGATCGATTCAGAAGCCACCTCTACAGGCAATGTTGTTGTATCGCAGCATACCGAGAACGCAGATGGCTCTCTCATCATTGAGAACCTTGAACTCAATCGCGTCGGCCATGCTGTCGCTGATACGCACGGCAACTCTCTCCTTGCGGGATCAAGTCGCCCTACCACAATCAGCTCCTATATCCAAGGCACCGTGTACAAGGATCAGACCACTGGCAAATACCTCGAGAGCAGCGGCTCACTGTCGCGCCCCCAAGCTCTTGTAGACTCCAGTGGCGCTTACTGGACCAAGTCGCGACCTCAGTACGAAAGGTACAGCTCTGGCTGCTTTTCCAGTGTCCGAGACTTCGGTGCCACGGGAGATGGAAAGACGGACGCCACCAAGGCTATCAACGCTGCGCTCAAGGCTAATGCCAACCGAAGGATCACATACTTCCCTGCAGGAAACTACCGCGTCAGCGGCACCATCCATGTCCCTGTTGGATCCAGAATTGTCGGTGAGGTTTGGTCTACCATTAGTGGTAAGTTTGACTTTTAGATCAAAGCATGTGGAATTAATTACTAAAACAATTCTTCTGTAGCATACGGAAGCGCGTTTGAGGATGAGAAGAATCCTCAGGTTGTCTTCCAGATGGGCACCACTGGGTCCCGTGGAATTATAGAGGTGAGCGACATCGCATTTGACGTAGCAGATGTCCTTCCTGGTGCCATTCTTGTCGAGAACAACGCAGCTGGATTAAGACCAGGCGATGTTGGCCTTTGGGACTCACATTTCCGCGCCGGTGGCACCATCGGCTCTGCCGTTGAAACCAAGTGCCGCTCTTATCCTCAGTCTCCGATCGATCAGTGCAAAGCCGCATTCTTGTTTATGCATCTCAAGTCCAACAGCCAGACCTACTTGGAGAGTGTTTGGGGATGGTCTGTCAACCGTGACCTCGACGGTCTAAGCGGTGCTACCAACGGAACTAGCCAATCTGTTGCCGTGGGCCGAGGTCTTCTTGTAGAATCCAAGCTCGGGACATGGCTTGTTGGTACAGCGTTTGAGCACAACGTTCTTTACCAGTACCAGTTTGCTGGCGCACAAAATGTTCAAGCATTGATGGCGCAAACGGAGACTGTATACTGGCAGCCTGCACCTGCGGCTCCCTCGCCTTGGACGTAAGTTATATATCCCTTATCCGCCTAATCCACCGCTCTACAAAACTAATCAATGTGCTAGACCTGATTCCCGATACTCTGACCCTGATTACTCCAACTGCGATGGAAGCTCAATCCAGTGCTTCATGGGCTGGTCTCTCCGTGTCGTAGGCGGCAGTGACATGACTTTTTATGGTTTGGGCTTCTGGCAAGTAAGTCTACATCTTTATGCTACGCATATACATCATTCCCAGCGTTGGACACGATGATAACCAAATGCGACAGTTCTTCAACGGCCTTAACGGTGTTTCAGGCCCGTACGCTCAAGACAACATTGTCTCTATCGAGGGTCAACCGAAGCGATTAAAGATTTTCAACCTTGGCACGCACTTGGTGAAGAATATGGTGACTGTGAATGGAGAAGCTGCTGCGCTGAGCGCCGATAATAAGGGTGGATGGGGCGGTCTTATTGCAGCCTATCTGCCGTTTGCTTAATGCCCTTTATGAAGATCAAGCTCCTTTAGAGACGAGATGCTGTTCTCGTAGATTAGATTACACGTCATGATTCCTAAGCATTGAACTATTAAAGAAAGTTGTACGAACATGGATTTTACACTTGTCAGATCATATAACCTAAATGTCAAATGCCGTGATATTTGAGTTTTATTCTGTATATGGTGCTATCCACCTAAAAGGATCCAGCTAAGCTTAATTGCAGAGCAAATATAATTGCTTGGTAGATCCACGGCATATGCGACAAGTAAGATGCGTATCACAACATGCATATAGAACACAGCACGTATTACCATGCAAACGCGGTCACAGTTAGAAGGCATGCTACACCGACCGATTGACCCATACTCTCTCCTTTAAGAACACGAAGCAAGCAGCAACACATATCTTGGTAGTCGTTTCCCCTGCTTATATCAGCAATTATCTCCAATTACCCCTATCCCCGGACTCCGCTTAGTAACAGGTTCCCCAGTAGCCCATCTTTCATCCTAGCAGTTTATGCATAAGTCCATGCAGTGAGAATCCGCGGAAAGCCAATCTAGGTATTAGAGTCTATCACCGCAGCCCTCGTGGTGAAATCGGGGGTTTATAGACCCCGGAATGCCGTCACTCGACGATCTTCTAGCTGACCTACTACCACAAATCGAGACCTTTCCAAAAAGAGCCATCTTACTAAAGGGGTAGGATCATTGTGGGGCAAGCTTGCCAGGGAGAGATAGCTGCATGTAGCATTTGCGCATTGGGTCGGGGTAGAGATGTTAGGGGCCAGCGAAGGATCATACCTTTG